GGGGCGCGGGCCGGTCGCAGAGGGGGCAGGAGTGGGAGTTGAAGGGCGGGAGGCAGGGCGGCGCGCGGCGGCTATCGACGAGGCTCACCGACGGCGCGGTGTGCATGGGCACGCTGCTGTGGTCCGCGGGCCGCCGCTGCGCCTGCTGCACCGCGGCTGCGAGGGCCTCTGCGTGGCCTGCGAGCTTGTTGTGTAGCATGGGGGCCACACCATGGATGAAGCCCTGTGGAGAGCCGTTTGGGGGGGGGGTTGGGGAGACGGTGTTTGGGCTGTGGCCTTGCTGGTGCAGGTGGCGAGTCGGAAAAGGCTTTTGAGGATCACATTGTGATACCCAGGACGTCACACGATTGATGACGTAATGATGGACGGCAGTCCCAGGCCGCCGTCCAGGTCGCTGGCGCGCCATCAGCACGGCCCCTCCCCCCAAAGGCGGCGTAGGGTGGCTGTAAAACGAGGCGCTGCCCAAGGATTACGCGCGCACGGGACCGCGACCCCGCGGCCGCGTGCGGCACGCGCGGCGCACACGCGCACCAGCAGCGTCTCCTGTATGTTGGCGAACTCGCAGGGCGTGTCGAGCGCAAAGTACAGCGCCCCCAGCGGCGGCGCGTCGCCCGCGATGAGCGGTACCACCACGATCGACGACACCACCCTGCTCGCGCGCGTGAAGATGTCGCGCGCCGGCCGCGGGCAGCACTGCATGTAGAGCCCGACGTCGGAGACGAAGCGCGCCTGGCGCTGCGCGACGGACGCGCCGAGCAGCGTGTTGGCGACGCGGAGCATGCTGGCCACGACCTCCCTCTCTCCCGGGTCACTGCAGTCTGAGTGGGCCTCGGAGCCCCTGGCGCCGGAGGCGGAGCCGGGGGCGAGGTGGGCGGGGGTCTCGAAGAGCAGCGCGTCGGGGCAGCCGCGGGGCTGCAGCAGCGCGAAGCGCGCGGTGGCCTGCAGCGTGCACGCCTTGAGCAGGAAGTCCCTCGCGCCCTGCAGGAGTGAGGGGCGATTCGGCCGCCAGTCATGTTTCGGCGCTGCTTGTGTCGGGAGGGGGAAAGAGGGGGTGCAGTGAGCCGTGTACTGGCAGCCAGGGCGTGTGTCCAGGAACGCAGGCTGCAGCCCGCGCGCGATACCGCGACGCCACAGCTGCGCCCGGCGCCCTCCCTCCAACCAGCCCTCACAGGCACCCGCTATCCGCAACAAACACACCATGCTCAAGAACACATCAATCTGACTCACACAATCGTGTGCCTCAGAACAAGCACGCACGCGTACACACACACGCGCACGCCCACGAGCTCCCACCCGCAGCAGCGTCCCGACCAGCTGGAAGGGGTCCTCGCTCGCGTCCATGGCCCTCAGCAGCTCCGCCACCCGCTCCACGGCCCCCTGCCGCACGTGCGGCAGCAGCCCCGTGGCGGCCAGCCGCAGCTGCACGTGCCACCAGGGGCCGTTGAAGGCGCTGGGCTGGGACTTGGCGAGCAGCAGGACGCCCAGGGGGTTGGAGGCGGTGCCAATGGGCACCTGCACAAAGCTGCGGAGGCCCGCGGGGCCCTGCCAGAGCTCGGCCGGCTCCAGGGTGGCCTTGACAAAGGGGATTGAGCGCGGCGGCAGGCGGCGGGAGGTAGGGGCGGAGCGCGTGATCGGGGGCACACACATCCACGCCCGCACCCACATAATGCATGCACACACCTCCAAACACAATGGCGTGCACGCAAACCAACACACACCCACTGCTCTCACACAAAAACACCCACACGCATGCACGCACGCACGCACGCACGCATGCACAGGCGCATGTCCGGGCCGCCCTCCACAGCAGCTTGCCCCCTTGCGCCCCTCCCATCCAAAGCCCCTCCAGCCCCGCCGCGCGGCGCTCACCCCCAGGGCTGTCGCGTCCGGAATGTTGAGGCTGCACGCCGCCCCCAGGCAGATGCCTGAGCTGTCAGAGTCCTCCGCCGGCGGCCGCACGACGACGCACTTCCGCAGCGCTGACACGCCTTTGCCGTGGCTCGCCATCAGGACAGAGGTCGACGGGTCGGCGGGGGTCACCACCCAGATGCTGCGCGTCGGGGCCCGGGGTGGGGGGTGCGGCAGGCGGAAGTCGAAGGGTCAATGGATGTGGGGAGGCGGGCTGCTATGAGCGCAAAAGCAGCACACCGCACCCCTCAGGACGGTCGACGTCCCAACGTCCGCGGCCGCCCGGGTTGTAGGCGGCGGGGGCTACGTGCGGCCATGGCTGCACGCCGCGCGCTGCGTCTGGCGGCTGCCGGGCAGCTGCTGGGTGATGGCCGTGCCACTCACGCGACCAGGTCCGCCTCCAGCTGCGCCGCCAGCAGCTCCGCGGCTTCTGGCAGGCGCAAGAGGGGGCTCGCGTGGACGAGGGCCAGCTGCTGCTGCAGCCCGTTGACCTGCAGGGGCGCGTGTTTTTGCGCGCGGCAGCACACGGGCGGTCACCGCTTGTCGCCGGGTGACTAAACGCGGTGTCGTGACTGCACGCGTGTCCCGGGCGAGGCTCTGGGGGCGGCCTGCCCCTACGCGCTGCCGTCGATGGGATGATGTACGAGGCAAGTTGCAGCGGGCCGCACGAGGCTCTCCCTGGGCGTGCTAGCCGCGCATGAACGCTGCCGATGCTGTTGCTGTTGTGGCTGCAGGCTGCGCATCAATGGTGCAGCTGTTATCGCTCGGAATGGACAGGTCTCGCGCTCCCAGCGCCCCACGGCGTTTGTCACCTTCTGAAGTATCGCTAGCCGCACATCCGCGCTGCCTGGGCGGCTGGCGTCAGCCGGCCGCTCCTGCTGGGAGCCAACGCTAAATGATGCTGCACGTGCCCAGGCTGACGCTCGGAGCTCCGCGATGGTGTTGCCCTCGACATCGGGTACGGATTTGCAGTTTCCCATTTTTAAGTAATCGACTTTAAGGGGATCGACACCCGCTGGCCCCGCGCTTGCAGCTAGAGATGGGCCACTTCGAGAGCGGCCTCCAGTAGCTTGAACTTGCCCTAGAGCGGCGGCCCGTCACCGCACTGATGCATCAAATGTTTGAACCATTCTTTTCTTAAGTTTGATGTTGACAAGACAGTGTCAGGATCGCCGTTCTTGGGAAGGTCCAGCGGATCTTCAGAGCCCAGCTCGCTGAGAGATTTTGAATAGCGCTGCTGGCTCGCAAATGTTCCAACGGTCGCGCCGGGCTGGCTAGAACGGTCAGGTGCGTTTGGGGGTAGAGGGGCACGACAAGGAGTTCCTTGCCCTGGGTGTGAGTTCACAGCCGGCCGCCGCAAAGCAGTTTCCGTCATGGCGCGCTATCTCTCTCTCTCTCTTTTCAGTCTAGATGGGCCATCGCAGCACCAGGGGCCCTGTAGGAAAGTGGTCCTTTAACCAGAGTCACATCATACGTATCGATTGCCAAAGGGTGCACCTGCATGTCAGACTAGATGCACGCAACAGCTGCAGCCAGCGACTCAGGAGGCAGCAAGGACCCACCTGCATTCTCATCCCCGCCCCGCCCCCTCCCCGCCTGCCCTGTGCAGACAAGCAATCCGCTTGATGGAGCAGTTGGCGCGGCAGAAGATTAGGTTCATCCGTGCGGCGGTTTGATGAGTTGCCAAGTGGACAGCTGTTCAGCCACACAGGCTGCGCAGCAGCAGGGGCTGCTGGATGCACGGGTGTGGCACTGGGCGTCTGGGCAACCACGACAACCGCAACGCGGCGTGCCAATGTTTCGTCGAGTACGGGATCTGAACAGGCTGTCCAGATGAAGCACACCAATGCTGTTGTTGGGATGCAGACCCCCCTTGATGTCATCGCCTCGGAAGCGCTGCGCGCTTTGCTGATCAGCCCCGTCCCGAAACAGCGTAGTGCGGCCACTGATGTGGCAGCAAACGCCCGCATCCGTCTGCGGTCATGTTTTGCAGGAGAGATAGAGAGGGAGAGACTACGCTGACGCCTCGCGCGGCTAGAAGCCCCGCTGCGAGCGGCGCCGCGTCGGGTTTAGGAGAGGTGTGTGTGTGGTGAGCCACACCCCCCACCATATGTTTCGTAGCACATTGTGACTGTGGCAGCTGCAGCCGCAGAAACTGACAGCACAAAGTCAGTTGCGCAAGCGCAAGATGGATTATGATTTTGAGTGACCGTAACGCAGGTGCAGTTCGACCTGGTCTCAGACAACCGGCTGGGGTCAATATCAGGGGCGTTGCTGCAGGCCCTGTGCACGCGTTGTCTTATGCTTCCAAGACGTCGTTACCCGGCACTAGCGGTGGCACCCCGCCAACCTCCACAGCCATTATTGGTGGCACAACACATTGACCTGAGTCGCCCTTGACCTGCCGACGCTGTGCCCACCCAGTGACCAAGCCGATCGGCATCCAGCAGACGAGCTTGTTAAGCTGCTGAGAACTAAGCCAACATACAAACTTTCTGTCGAGCCAAAACAAGCCATTGAACTTGGGTCAAGGTGCAACACAAGGCCTGTTCCCCCAGCATGCAGGGTGAAACGAGCCACGCCAAAAGCAGCCCAGGGTGCCCCGCCGCACGAACGAGCCTCCACCCAAACATCTCGCTGTCAGCCACGCCGCGCCCTGCTGCGCTGTCAAAGCATCCCACATGCATCGCAATGCGTGCGTGCCCGCAGCGTGCCTATCGCGCTCCCCACACCGTCATCAGTTGTGCAAAAACTTGCTTGGCCCGACCTCGTGTCACAGCTTTGTGCGCTGAATTTGCAGCTTCCAGCCAGGCGGCTCCGAACCCAGGCCGGCTGGCCAACCACAGAGCCTCGCTCACTCGCCACACACGGCGGCGCAGCGGCTGGGGTGCAAGAGCAGCAGTGTGAGGCTTGAGGCGTCCCTCGAGCTTGCTGGGAGAGGCGTGGCGTGCTGCTGGGTCTGGAAGTTAGCAAGGTGTGCCTAGAGAGAACTTTTCAGGTGCCTACTTGATGCTTCAAATCGCGCTATTTGAGTGTGGCGGTAAGTATCAGGTGGCGTTTGTGGTGTGCATGTGATCGAAAGCGGTGTGCATGTGAACTGGAGCTCCGCCTGCGTGGCAGCACGTGCAACTTAGGAGCTAGCAGCGCTGACGAAGCGGCCGTCGAGCGCTGGGGCTTGTGCCGCTGCCGGCGCCAGAGTTGCCCGCCATCCATGGGGGTGCCCGCGGCGGTTTGCCTGCCTCTGCTGATGACTTCACGGGGAGCGCACGTGATCATGCTAGCCACGCACATATACAGTTGGGGCGTCGGCGCGATGGACACGTGGTGAGTTTTGGGTTGGGCGACGTGGTGGTGCTCCTGCAGGGTGTGAAGGAGTCTGCGGGCGTTTCCCATGCGCCTGGCCAGGGCAACTGAAACTTCCCACTGTGCGGCCGCCGTTGTTGTGCAGGCCGCGGCCAGATCGCGCAGGATCGTGCGGTTCGAGCAGCATGCTTCCAAGTCAAGGCAGATCTGGCTTGCGTGGTGGCCGGCGCCACAGCCGCGCGGCGCGGGAACGAGGTGGCTGAGTCGTCACGCCCACACCGCGCGACCAAGCAGCTGACGGCATCCGAAGCCACACCCGTCCGGCTGGGCCGACCAGGCACGCAAAGATAGCAGTACGCTTGAATGCGAACGTCAATCGGCTACATCATGCAGTGGTTCGATTTCTCATTGTGACGCCTGCGTTGATCAAATCGGAAACTTTGCGCAGTGTCGGCGAAATATCCGATGCGCACCTGTCAAAAGCAATTGCAACGCACTGAAAATGCAGATATTTTCGAAACTGCTGGGTTGCCTGCTGCTCCTAGCAGCTCAATTGCCGGGCGCCCTCATCGCTCATGCTGGCGCGGCCGCTCTCAGCACCCCCAGCGTCGGCATCGCCGGGCTGCCACGGCAGCATTTCCTGACGATCACCACGTCTGTTAGCACCTCTGAGTCCCTAGATGTGCTGCACGTCCTCGCAGAGCTGGCGGCCAGGTGGGCCCAGCGGCGGCAGTGAAACTTGGCGCGGGCCCCGCAGCGAGTGACGGCGAGGCGGGCCAAGCGAGCCAAACCTTGCCTGAAGGT